AAGAAGCTCTACTTCTGAACTCATATAGAAGAAGCTCTACTTCTGAACTCATATAGAAGAAGCTCTACTTCTGAACTCATATAGAAGCTACATGGAAGATTAAAGGTCTGGGAGAAGCAGAAAGTACAAGTTATTTATTGGAAATAAGACTTAGGAAATAAAGAAGAAGACAGGAACAAGTGCAAGAAACCGTATCTATCCCAGAGAAAAATAATCTAGCATGTGCACCGATGGTTCTTCGGTTTACCTTTGTCCTGGTTAAGTGTATATAGGTTATGATAGGAATGTGACTAAAATGTATCAAATCCAGAGACTACAATCTAATCATAGTGATCCGTGTACCGAAAGAAACTAGAAAAAAGATATCTCGTGATTATGAACATAAAGTTTTCATAGAATTCAAATACACAGTAGCATAGCCGATGTGTTTCCTTCTACCAATAAATTAGAAAATTATAAAGCGGATGTCATGTAGAATATGGTAAAGAGTAATTGCATAAAATAAACATTTGATTTTTGGGACAATGGGCTGAGATTTTAAATGGGTTAATTAAAATGAAGTTAGGTTACAACACAGAAATATAAGTTAACCCAAGATGAATAATGTCTATATGAAATATGATGCAAAGGAAGAATACTACATAAATAATGTTTACTTAAGTTTATCAGGACTGTTACAAAACATGAGTGAAATTCTTGGCAATTTTATTAAAACTTTGAAGAGGAAATATTTAAACAGTTAAAGATAGTAGAAAAATTTAGATCAAACAAATCAATTTATGTGACTGCATTTATAACCCTTGCCTTGTAAAATCAAATTCAATGTACACATAGCTTATTTTTATAAATAAGTTACTAGCAAAAACAAAATAAATGTAAAAATACCCCAAACAAAGAATCTAACACATTGAAAATTCTTTTAATAATGGTATTTGGGAACTAACCACAATGATTTGATTCCAAAAATGTATTATAATATGATGTAGAAATGCTTGACGGGTATTCCTATGATCCAAAAATCAGCACAAAGAAATGTATGGTAGGAGTACGTGGTTTCCCGTTTGGAGTATCTTTGAGAACACTTACTCTGCTCTTATCAGTGAGTTTGACAGTTTGCTTATTGCTTTGTCACTCATAATGTAAGAGAAGGATGTGCAAACGAATGTGTACTAGGGGCAGCAAGCTAAGCGAAAGGTATAGAATAGAAGGGATAAAACTGTGATTGATGAAGGAGCACTTTTGTATCTAAAGAATTCAAGTTTAATTTTAAACTACAGTGCAAGCCAAAGCAAACATATATGAACCGATTTAATCCTAAAGTTTGCAGTTGAATAAGGGGAGAGTCTCCAAATAGAGGGAACGTTCTTTCCAGTGGTCTTGAAGATCTCAATTTAGTCTTTTTCTCCCTTGCTTCACATTTAATTTCATCTCTCCTATTATAAGCCCTAGAGTAAAAACGTGCATAAACAGGTTTGAGGATATATGGAACAATCAAGGTCAGTATTTCGGCTAATGCCCTGGGGCACAGATCCAGAAGTTACTAGTATTTTTTTGAAACTTAAAAACTAAGTGACCACTATCCTTAATTTTGTTTTCAGGATGTATGCATTCAGATGTGATAAAACTCTGATATTTCTATTAATATTTATGCATGTTCACATCTACTCTTCATTTAAAAATCACCTACCTCTGTAATCTTCCCCAGCAATTGACTTCTATTTTCTATATTCAACCAGCAGCAGCAGTTCAGGGGGAGACAGATGAAGCTTTCTGCTCCTGCGAAAACTGTCCACTCTTGGAAAGCCTGATATGTAGTTCTACCCAGGGTTTTATTTGAATAATTTAATAACTGATTCACTGCCCTAAAAATCATTTTAAGTATAGAAAAATGATATATCTAAAGGCAGTTTATTATTTCATAGTTAATTTTTAAATAAGAACAAGAAAAGAGTTATACAAAACTAAATTATGTTGAGTTTTAAAACATTAATGAAAAATATTAAATAATACTTAACAAAAACCAATGAGGCTGTTATTTATGGTATTTCCATATTGCTTCCTGATTTGCATATTCACTTGTAATATTCTTCACTTGGATGCAAGCATCATCAGCTGTGTGATTTATCTTTAACCACCTTCTCCCAGCAGGAGTAAGATCACAGTCTTTTAGAGGGAGGCCAATTATGTAATAGTCATTGTGTTTGATATATTAGGAACAGGTGACTTCTCTTCTGTGAACATACTATGTTTGAAAAAACCTCTTTCAGCTTCTACTGAACCCACAGCAATTGTTCTGACAATATGTTTAGCTCTTTGAACACTTGGCGGAATTGCATAATTGACTCATAATATCATGTGGAAATTTGGGACATAAGAAATGAATGATAGCATGTCACCCTCTGGTTTTTTTTTGGCACTTTTACCCTTTACAGTATATGTTTGTTTACTAATTAACAAACACATGGGGGTTAAAATTCAGTATTTTGTGAAAAGTACAATGAGCTTTATGGAATGAGTATTGCAAACATATTCCATCTAATTGTTTATACCTATGGATGGGATACACTGTTTTGGTCTTGAACATTTAAAAAGGAGAAGGAATGTAAACTTGTGATTTCCACATTGGAGAGCTGCCCAGCCACTAATCTTAGATTTCAAGTGCCATTTTAACATCAGGTTTACTGACCTCAACAAAAATTTAGGTATGGGTCCTGCCTAACCAGTACGAACTGGCTAAATCCTACCACTGCTTCCACCCCTCCTAAAACTCCAAAACCAAAGTCCAAGTCCTCATGAAAATGGAGGATTTGCTGGGATAATTATGGCTAGGGGTGTCCAGAGAAATTCAGGGGAATAGTAACATATTCGTTGTGGTATTTCTGGCAGTATGACACTTAATAAGGAACAAACAGGATAACTACATTGGGAATTTTCTTCCTACGAGAGATTTTCAAAAATCGGTTCAAACGTTGGAGATAGAGACTATAACAAGCCATGGGCACAGGGAGCATAACTGCATATAAGAACCATGTCAGAAGACCACCAGACCAAATAAAATTAATTGCTAATTTAAAAATTGGAATTATTAAGAAAGGGAATGCTAAGCATTGTATTATTATTTTTAAGACATTTAATTTTAAAATGCAAATAAGATGTTATAAGCATAATATGCCAATAAGTGAAACTATTTGTAAGGCTTGCATTTGTGCCTCTATCTCATCTTTACCACGACAGAGATATTCATAAGACCAAATTCCACAGGATTGAGTCTATTGTGAGGGGGAAAACAATCCAGATACTCTAAAATTGTTTATTCATACTTTGGTTGAATTAGCATAAATTGAGCAATTTATGTGAATAATATGAATCATTTCCTTTAGGAAAATAGCTTAAGCATTGATGTGGCATCAGATAATTTTCAATTTGGTGACCTAGATAGTACATACCATAATTTTTTTTTTGTAATTCACTACCGTGGATTTGATTGATACAACCTGAACTCTCGTATCAGCAATATAAGCTGAGTCAATCGCATGGAGCTCACCAGGTGGAATATACAGGAATCGAATCCCATTTGTGGGAAGAGTCAATAGAGAAGCTCAATATTGATTGCTAAAACAAAGCAAGGGCCATCTGTGGACTAAACTATTAATTTCTGGTGTACAAGTTCAGGTTCAGCCTGAAGAAAATCAAAAGTGCAAGCAAGAGAGCCAAAATACAAACATGAACTTTCTGAAGCTACTTCTTATAATTGGATGCTAATGTATGAAATATTGTAATTAGAAAATTAGGCCTCCGGGGATGCTCATTTTAAATCCAGGTGTCAATATGCAGGTCATGTTCTCCTAGGAGCCTTAATACAACTGAATGATGTATTAAAAATAACTCTGGTTCTTGTTTTATTTGTCTTTTGCTTTCTAATTATTTCATTGTATTTATGCACATATGCACCCATTGCACTTTTGCGTGTTAGGTTTGGAAGTAAAAAGTCAATTCAAGATAGAAGAAACTAAATAGTTGATCAATAAAACGTTAGGAATTTGAATTCAGATTTGATGCCATATATACAACCTAATCTGAATAGTTACCTCTTCACAGGTGGGTTTATGGAGACTGAAGCTGCGGCCCAAGAGTCCCTGGGGTTAGGCAAACTTGGAACTCAAGCTGAGAAGGATAGAAGATTGAAGAAAAAGTAGGTTTGGAGATTACCCCCCTCCTTTTTCTAGCATTTCTTTCTTCCTTATGTTCTGTTTATGAGGAATTAAAAGGAGAGTAGTTGGAAACAAAGTAACTGTTCTAAAAGGTCAATGTTTTCTTAATACAGCACACTCCCCCCCTCTAACTCCTGCACTCAAAAAAAAAGGAAACTCCTTAATGTTCCTGTTACCTGGTTTCCTAGCTATAATGTGATACTGTTTGAAATGAGTAAAAGAATCCTTCACCTGGAGTAGAAATTAATGTTTTCTCCTAAGCAATCAAAACATTTATTCCATAAACCACTTGTATTTAAAATAATTTTAAAGTTCTAAAAACGCTCAAATATTCCATTTGGTTCAAATTGAATGGATATGATAAATTGAAGCAGGGTTCCACCCAGCTGAGTTTTCTCCTGTGACAGTTACATGCATCTGCTCCGTAAGATGGAGTACTGTACTTAAGAGGAGAACCGCTTCTCTAAGCTGAGCTTAGAATCACAGCAATCTTATTTGGGATCTGTCGGAGAACTGGTACTGCATGTTTTAATCAGAATCTAAACTGGAGCACTTAAATGACTTGCATAAGGGTCAATTGCGTGTCAGCAGCTGTGGGAAAGCAAGTAGGTCCACAAATCCCACATCTTATAAATGCAACGATAGGATGATCGGGGGAAAGGACACCTTTATACTGTGGTAGTTTGAAAGCAAAGTAATTTCTCCTAATTTCAGTGTATGCAATGACTATTCCTGTTCCTTCCTCCTGCAAGTGTTTATTACATTTGTGGCTTCTGTACTGATCTTTTTTTTCCTATACAAAAATATACATTTCCTATTATCGTTCTCGAAACACATTTGCTCACATGGTTCTAGTAGGCAGGCTAACCAAATTTGCTTCATAGTTTACTTTCTTGTTTTGTAGATGTTTAATAATGATGAGGTAGTATATGCTTACAAGTTACAGTGCAGCTCAACAGCCTAATTGCTCATTAGTTTTTTTAATAAAATTAGAGGTGTACTCAAATTCAGTAAAATACTGTCTGGGGCGGTGGCCTGGCGGGTGGTGGGGTGGTGGTGCGAGGTAAAGTGACCTTAGAAGAATTATTTCTTGAATTCAAGGAAGTATAAAGAAAGTCACACTTAATGCAGGGAAGTAATTTTTCATTAACTATTGATCACTCAATAGTATATTTAAATATCATAATATATTTGGAATCTCTTGATTTTGTTTAGTCTTTTGGATATTTTATATTTAGTTTCATTTTTTGCTACTTATTGAGAAAATAGTCTTTCATATTTGATAATTTTTAAAAAAGAGTTATGTTTCAAACATGAAGGAAGATGGTAAGCAAAGCCCAGCCTGAGTAATAGACTTGTTTCCTCAGCCCCCACCCCCATAATTTAATGATGATTTTTCCTCAATGAGGAATATTTATAAATAGTTGCAATCTGATTAGTTATCATCATTGTATATAAGAGTGATAATTGGGCTTAAACAAAGAGCTAACAATTTTACTTACAATATGACAATAGTTCATTGGCTATTTTTGAGACAGAGTAAAATGTTCTTTTTAATAGCAATTTAACTCTAACACCCAAATAAACAATTGTTGAACATCAATAATTTGGAGGTAAAGTATACATTAGTAGCTTTGCACACTGTTCAGTAGTTTGGTGTACATTTCTAACATTATTTTGCAAATGCTCCGTATCTTCACAATCACAAACTTGATTTCATCTCTGTTCTTAGTCTGAAGATCTTGCTTACACTTGATTCTGTGTTTTATTTTTCCCATAAACTTTGATCAAGTATAATTTTTAAATGTCTTTATCATTAAGAAGAATATTAAGAATATTATATAATGCAGTAAGGCTAAACTTTCTTAGTTTTTAGAAATTCCCTAGCGAATAATAATATTCTGGTTAAAGTAGGTCCCAAAAGTGGAAAAAAGTAAATTGATAAAAACCTAGTTACCTTATTTTAAACAAGATACTCTGAGCATTAATATGTAACCATGACAGTACAGACGTGTATAAATAAGTCTCAATGTTTGCTTTGGACTTATGCAACTAAATCTTTGTTTCTGGGTTGTCAGATAATAATTTGTTCTATGTAGTTATTTTTATTTTATAAGATAGGTAAGACAAATCACTTTTAAATCCCTTGATTTCATTTTATTTCTATTAAATTTTGTTACAGTTATATGAATTTATTTTAAAATGTATTGAAGCAATGTAGGCGATTTTGTTTACGCAGGAGAATAGACACAAATCTGCTCTGAGTCGGTATGAGAGTCAGGTGCTCTTCCAGGTTCACATGTTGCTTTCTGGTCCTCTACCAAGATGGAAAAACATGTCTTTCAAGTCTGTTATTTTGAAAAGATAAATAAGAACAATACGTGTAGCGGTTCCTTTTAATAGGTCAAACACTACAGTTGTGCATGCACATTCATAATTGCTGTGCTTTCTTAGAAGTAATTTCTACATCCTATTTATTGATGTATACACATGATGCATCCACGATGTAGTATTTAAGCCAGCATCCACTATCTCAGGGTTCGTGCCAAAGATTCATTAGTCTCTGTAGGAACAAGCTGAACTGGAGAAAAACCTTATTTTTAACTTCATTAGAATATTGGAGATATAGAATTGGCAATCTGTGAATTTAATTTAATTTGGATAAGTCTTCTCTAAAAAAGTTATTTATGGCATATTTTTAGAAATCACATGATGTGGTGTACTTTCAGAGAGTATAATTTTATCCATTTCAAATTCTTGCAATGTTCACAAATTTGTAATGTTACAAGTTCTACAAAAGTATAAGATGAGGCACATCTGTTATCTAGAAAAGTAAACGTACATAACTTACCTCACCTTAATAGATATTAATTTCTACTGTAATTTTACATTTATTTTACTTTCCAGCCTGTTTTTATTAAATATTTTTTCTGATTCTTGGCTTATAATGAGAAACAGGGAACTAACAGATACTATATATCCTAAAAACACAGTGGGCTTTGTTCCTTCCCAGCTAGATGGCTGCTTGTTTTATCTTCAAGCCTTTATGACCCCAGACACTATATCACTTAATAGTTGGGCACCATCAGCATTCTTTACTGCATTTGCTTATACACCCATTTTGTGTCCAGCAATCATGTTGTGAAGGTGAGTTTCCCAGTATGCCAGGTTATTAGAACAAAGTGCTTTTGCATTGATCGAGTACTAGGGTAGAGGCCCCATGTCCATCTGCTACCTTAATACTTAACATATAAATATATGTACATAGGCCTATGTCCCTATCGGTATATATAAGTATATTTACATGTGTATGCACCTATATTTATAGCTCTATAAATGTCTTTTGCCTCCTAGTCCTTTCCTCTGTTTCCTTTTAATTTCCTCCTGTCCCACTACCATGTTCGACCTTTATTCGGCTCAGTAATTCCTCTCAGCTACATTGCACAGCCCCAAGTACGACATTCCATACTAAAATGTTTATCCTTTATCATTTTCTGGGTCAGGTAGCTCTCTCTGGGGATCACTACTCTCTGACTTCTTGTCCATCGTCCTTTTTTTATTTCACTGGCTTCCAGACACCCTGGGATTTAACAACACTAAACCTCTTCCAAACCTTTCCCCTTTTCTAAGGCTCTCACAAAGACCTAGAACTTGTAACATGGTCACTTCCAGTTTAGGCTCACCTACCCTGACCTTCAAAAGTTTGTTTCCCTTTCCTACCTTTATCTACTTGATGATGCTTTCCAACTAAATCTGACCACATAAAGGTCACAATTTACATGGATTAATCCAAGAAACACTCCAACTTCTGAATATTCTTCATTTTCCCAAATTTCTCTAGGGTTCAGATGGCAGCATTTTAGGGCACAGTAAGTAAAAACACCATCCCTTGGCCAACATACCAATTTTAGCAAAGAAGTCATTCACTTAGAAATCAAAATATAAACCATTACCAATAAAGCTGATGGAACATGACGTTT